GTTACCTGTTTTTTCCACTTTTCTTTTGCAGCTATACTGCCTGTCTCAGACTTACTGTTGTGTGATTTTTGTTAGGCTCAGAGTTAGTGTTCCTCCTTCCCTCTCAAGTATCAAAGAACCCAAGGACTAGAAAATTCTCAGTATGCAGCACATCTCTTTGCATGAAACATAAGCAATTTGTCTTCACTTTCAAGGAATTTCATGGCCTATTTCCACCCTACCTGTCATGCCATTCTCTATCGAGATGACTTCTGCCTTTGATCGGTCTGCTGATGGCACCCTCCATTGCCAACTCCATTAAACTTTCAAACAAGCTCTTTCATGCCTTTGCCTACTCTATCCATCACACTTAGGAGGAGCCCCACTCCCCCACCATCTACAAAGTTACGTCATGATGCTCCTTCAAAACCTTTCCATGGTACATAGAAAAATTTGATAGCACATCAGTGAGATAACTGCTGAGACTGGTTATGCTGACCAATATTGTCTCATTGTTTCCTTTTACTGTATTATTTAGTGTTATCCTTGGATTGTAAGATGTGTGAGACAGAGACCATCTTTTTGTTGTGTATGTTCTACCCATAGTGGGATGCTGGTCCATGATTAAGATTTTTAGGTGCTACAGTAATGCAACTATGGTGCTTTTGCAGTAAGCCACCTACTATGGCCCTGCACAGCCTGGTTTCCGGTACTCTTTCCACTTGTATACGTAATATTTGAGTAGAGCCTTAACTCAGAGCAGAATAATTGAGCTCCCTCACTTTCTTTGGGGGAAATCTCCACTCTAAACTGACTTTAGCTCTCATGCAGTCTGTCTGTAGCTTGACACTGCCATTTTAGCATGTTGGTTTTTCAGGTTTGGAGAAATATTACTGTCAGCCTTCCAGCTCAAGATTCCTGGCAGATTTGCATGGCCTACAGTGAGAAGAGCCTGTCCCACAGGGAAACGTTTTGGGGGGGAGAGCTCAGAGCTTCAACATCAAATGTATCTTCCAACTTTCCACTTCCTCTTTACTGCCCTTAGAAATATGGGCAAGCCAGCTAGGATCCTCCAGCTTCTGCTCTACTTTTGTTAATGATTCTTTCAGCCTGCCAGGGTCTTGGTGATTGGGAGGGAAAGTACTACTTTGTCCTTTATTGGTAGACTCTAGAATCAGGTAAGAATATACTGAACAGAAAATAGTGAAATCCAGTGAGAAGTGCTCCTCATCTAGGGAGGTTAGCAAATGCTCTGTGCATAAGGACAAGGCTAGTAAACATTGATTCAGTTTAGCTCTAGGGGCTTAGTCTTAAAGGGGCCCAGTTAAAGAAGCCCTGCTTGAATTAAAAAGAGTTTCTTTTTTCACATTCCTGAGGAGACTGTTATATTATTGCAGACCTTAAGGAACCTCTATAGACAAAGCAATGTGTGAAACAATAGCTCACCTTTTGAAGTCATCAGTGAAAGTGTGATTGTACGTCCTGTTTTTAAAGGCATGACTCTGTTTTTTTTTTTTTTTTTTTTTTTTTTAATGGGCACATTTTTCTGTATTGTTTGTGTCCCATTAGTACTGGTGGGTCCTGCTGTCGCCTGAATCCCTGAAAAGGGGGGGGGGGGGGGGAGTGTTCCAGTGGCTGAAGGCTGGTGGCAGGGCTAAGCTGCAACACACGCTGGACCGACCCCTCCCCCTGCTGGTCCATCAGCACAAGATCCCTCTGCATGCCAGATCTTGGACAGTATGGCCTCTGCCCCTCATTCTGTTTCCAGACAGCAATGGTTATGCACTGTGAGTTGTGGTGACTAGTGAGAGCAGGCAGGCACCAGGCAGCAGCCAATTTTGTGTCACCTCTGCTGTTCACCCATTGGCCCTTTTACATGTTCCTCCTCTTGCTGTCCTCTACCTCCACCTGCTGCTCCTCCATATGCTCCCTTGCGTGGCATCCCTCTCCCAGTGCTGCATAGAGATCCAGTTCCTGTATGGAGTGCTTAGCTCACCAACCCTCCCAGCCACTGGCTGTGTGGACACTCTGGGAATGTCCAAGACTTTCCAGCCCAAGGTGCTGGCCAGGAATGGGCAGGGACGGTTAGGTCAGTCAGTCACCTCCCGTGTGAGAGTGGTGTGTGTGTGTGTGTGTGTGATCTCCTAAAAGCATAAAAATAAGATAAATAAAAAGAATCCAATTACACAGTATTTCAACTTGATGTTAGTCAACTTGATGTTAATTTGAATATTTGTACTTCACAGATCTGATTGTCGTTAAATTCATTTGAATATGAGTCATTTTACCAGGTGTCCCATAATCAGCACAGGGAACCCTAATCAGAGAGATCTTATAGCATATCATTTATCTGCTTTTCCCTCTCCTTTTTTTCCCCTTAAAGGATTACTGAAAGATTGTACTTCAGTAATCCTACTCCTCAGACTCTTAATAAATCCAGATCTGCAGTGGAGAGCTAAAACTCACTCCTTTCAGCCATATTTCAAGGAGAAACTTTTATATCTATTGATCTAAAAGAATACCTCCCCATCCCAATTTTTGAAAGTAATTGGTGGTGATTTAGTTTTGAATACTAGCTGCTTTCATGGGCGGGAGAAGGAATTCAGGCAACACAACTTTTTATACAGTGCAATGATCACTTGTAAGGAAGGCACTCAGTAGAGTGAGTATGGTAAAATAATTCAGATTTTCCAGGCAGAGGAATAGCCTGCCTTTGCCATGGATATTTTGTTCAAGCCTTGAAACAAGGAGCTTCTCTACTTCCCACTGAGTGTTCTGCTTTGCAGAAATATGCCAAAAATTCAGTTGGAAAAAGCTGAAGTAATTATAATTGCCCATACTTACTGGGGCAGCCCTATATCTCTAATATCTTACTCAGATACATAGCACTTTCAATCCATTTTCATGGGGTTGGGGAGTTTTCTGTTCGATCAAGGTTTAGTGACAGACGCAGGACTGTTCACTTCTTATTTTACCTCACCAAAACAGTACCTTCTGCCTTATAATGGAGGCTCCTATATGTTCACAGCTATTAAACAATTAGATACTAATTTATAATTCCATTGCAATGGACGTCAAATAAGATCAGTAGACTGGGTTTGGGAGAGTTAAAAATTTTGCTGGAGAAACATTAAAATAATTATGGGATTAGAAACACACAAATGAGATTGTGAATACTGATGTGTGGTATTGGGGAGGGTTGCTTCATGTATTCCAAATAACTTTTCTGAAGATGGAATTATTTCACCTGAGAGACAGTCAAAGATAATGTGCATAATATCAGTGGAAATAATTCTCTCAGGTCCCTGGAAGGAGAATACATGTCTGGCAGAAACTGAGTGGATAATGAGCTTAATTCCTGGTATCACAGAAGAAAAATCAATCACTCTGTAAGACAGAGGTGCCTAATTTAATGCTGTATGGAAACCATATATGAACTATGTCCATGTTGATATTGTAGTATTAAAATTTAAATAGTCGTTTATCACTTGTCTTGTGAATTTGATCCTATTTGAATTATGGAAAAATAACCTTTTAATTGTAACAATCTTGTTTTATGAATTTCTTTAGAAAAATCAACTTTTAATATTTTGGCTGTTTTAAGAGGGGAGACTTCTTGTAGTTAAATGTGTGTGTATATATATATTTTAAATTACATGTCAGGGATTATATATAATATACAATATATGGTGTATTGTATATTATATTCCCTTAACATTCTTTAATTTAAAAAATTGAATTTAAATTAAAAATACAGTTATTGATGTTGGCAAAGCTAGTAGCATCATCCAGTCTTGGTAGGAATCTACTGTAAGGGTTTGCTGAATTGGTGATTAAAAGTCCAGGTTTGATGAACAAATACTGTTCTCGGAGTCTGAGAATCCTTACTAAGCATATGTCCACAGTGTCTGGTAAACAGAGTGTTTTAGTGGCCCTGTACTGAAAAAAGTATGGTTATACAGAGAATAAATCAAATCCATTCAAGTTCAAATATTATTGCTACAGGATACTACTCAGTGGTTTGCATTATGTATGTAAAATCCTGTTTAATCAGTTAACTGGTTAAACGTTATGTCTTAACTGGTTAACCACTTAAATGGGGGTGGGGGGGTTGTTCCAACCCTGTTGGGCTGGAATGGCCTTCCTGCCCACCGTGGCCAGGATGAGTGGCCCCTCTCTCTCACTGCTGCTCTGTCTGGGCAGGAATGTCACCGCAGACAGGGGCTGCTCCAGCCCCTGCTGGTTAACTGTAACCAGTAAGCATCATCCAGTAATGGTGATGATTACCAGTTAATTGATTAAGCATTCACATCCATAGTTTGCATTCATTAAGTGTTTCAATTCTAGCTCTTTATAGAGTCTTAAATGGTAAAAACTGACAGGTAGTTTACTAGGACAGGTATTTTACTAGGATAAAAACTGACAGGTAGTTTACTAGGACACAGAGCTTGTCTACAACACTAACATGTTGCATGTTAATTGGACCTTGTTGACCGCTTGTGTGCACTAAAGATTCCCTAGTGTTCTGTAACAGTACTGCTTGAAACAGTCCTATGTTAAAGCACACTAGGGAACCTTTAGTGCACACCAGCAGGGTACTCCTGCAGCAATTAATGCACATATCACTGCACTTTTAAAAATCTTACCTCCCATAGTGTGTTATCCAACTGTGTAAACAAGCCCTTATTGACAAACTTTTTCAGCATAATCCTGTAGTAACTTAAAATATAGTTATTGGTACATGTAAAATAACATTTGAGATATTCTTGTATGATGTAGAATTGAACTTTCACTCTGATTTCTTTTAATGTGAATTATTTGAATACTAGTATTATGGGTAAGATTCATCACATTAGGAACACACAATCTGTGTTGGGCAGTAATTTTTGTTTTATGATAAAATAGTCCTAGAAGAGCTTTTAGTCTGGTACAGTTTGAAATCCTTTCACCAGTGCTATTGACAAAATACATTCTTACCATTGTTTTGTGTTTTGAGGTAACGCTTTGCTTACTCTCTTCAGAGTCTGTGGACGAGGAAACTGGAAGATTCCCAAATGAATAACCGAAAGGAAGATATGGAAATTGCCTCCCATTACCGTCATCTGCTTCGTGAGCTCAATGAGCAGAGACAGCATGGCATCCTCTGTGATGTTTGCATTATAGTGGAGGGGAAGATCTTCAAGGCTCACAAAAACGTTCTGCTCGGGAGCAGCCGCTACTTCAAGACTCTGTACTGCCAGGTTCAGAAAACATCTGATCAGGCCACTGTCACTCATTTAGACATTGTAACTGCACAGGGCTTTAAAGCTATCATTGACTTCATGTATTCTGCTCACTTAGCATTGACCAGCAGAAATGTTATCGAGGTGATGTCTGCTGCTAGCTATCTTCAGATGACTGATATTGTACAAGCCTGTCACAATTTCATAAAAGCGGCTCTTGACATAAGTATAAAGTCTGATGCCTCAGATGACCTTGTTGATTATGAACTTGGGGCTGCTTCCAGCAGTAGTACAGATGCTTTGATTTCAGCAGTGGTGGCTGGTAGGAGCATTTCTCCATGGTTAGCTCGACGAACAAGTCCAGCAAACTCTTCTGGTGATTCAGCCATTGCTAGCTGTCATGAAGGAGGGAGCAGTTATGGAAAAGAGGATCAGGAACCAAAAACAGATAGCCACGATGACATTTCATCCCAGTCTCTTTGGTCCAGTGACATGGGCTATGGGTCTTTGCGTATCAAAGAGGAGCAAATTTCACCTTCTCATTATGGAGGGAATGACTTGCGTTCTGCCAAGGATAGTGCAATACAGAACACTTTCTCAGAACAAGGAGCAGGAGATGGCTGGCAGCCCACAGGACGCAGAAAGAATAGAAAAAATAAAGAAACTGTGCGTCATATTACACAGCAAGTAGAGACTGACAGCAGGGCAAGCTCTCCAGTGCCATCTTTTTTATCTGCCTCCGGATGGCCATATAACAGTCGTGACCCAAGTAAGAGGGTTTTTTTTCTTTTTCTTTTCAAATGTATCCCTAGTTGTTACAGAATTGATGTCCTAGTCATCTCATAAATATTTATGAATGAAATAGTAGCTCAAGTCAGATCCTTGATGTACATCTGTTTGTCACCAAAACTCCCATTCTTACTAGGAGTGTTGATAAGGTAAAGGATTGAAACTGCCCACCTATTAGAATAGTCATTTCAGGTAAAGGTTGAGGAGCATGGGGTGTGTAGAGTAAATAGTCTTTTAATTGCTACTGCATGTACTCTAATCTCTGCAGCTTAATGAGACTACTGTTGCTAACATTGCCTGTGAGGTACCTACATGAGCACCAATTTTAGTTGTACGGCCTGCTTAGATAACACTGTAGTTGTTCCTCTGTAGAGCAGTAGACAGATGGCAGTTAAGGACAACGTAGCATCCACGTTCCTCCTTAATCTAATATCAGCCAAGTGTTTAGTGGCTTTAAGAATGGAAGTCCTCCATGTAGCTTTATGATTAGTTTATTATGAATAGCTGCAGTGTTTCAGATGACCAACTTCAAATGCATTGTAAGGGAGACAAACACTCTCTTGGACCTTTTTTAAATCGTCATCCTTGTTTATCTTTAAAATCATGAGGATTGTCCATCTACATGTACTATATTCACCAATTATATAGGTTCAAGAATAAATATTTGCCTGTCAAAGTTATGGCCAAGATTTTCAAAAGAGGCTCAGGGCGTTACACTCATTGAAATTCAATGGCACTATGGTGCACAACTCCCTTGGCATTCTTTGGAAATCCTAGCCTGTCATGAGTTATTAGCAAAATCTGTGTTACTGCATGCTGGTAGGTAAAGCCAGAAAAGGGGAAGAAGGGAGAAAGAGAGAGATGAATAAGTAAATATGATTACATGCTTTCATATATCTTGTAAAAAACAGAACTATAATTTTAGGGAAAAGATTTGATATATTTGATGATACTTGAAGCTGAAGGGCAGTATTAATAAAAGATTTGAATGTTAAATGTTTTGAAAAGTCAAATTAGATGGAATGGGTAACAGTCTAGAAATATTTTTGGATTTATTTTGTTGTGTGCAGCAGCAAACTTGCATGTAATTTTGATCATTCTTATTGGTTGATGATAGAAGCCTAAATTATTTAAAATTTTAAAACCAACAATGCCAAATAACCTAGTGATAATATTGGATTATAATGATTTTTGCATTTATAGTTCTCAAATTTCAGGCTTAAATAAAGCCTGTTGTTCCCAGTTAAGTGCATATGATGTTGTTTAAGCGTAAGTATTTCTGGCTTGCACACCACCTCATAAAAAGCACTCAAGCATTTATATTATCCACAATGTGGACATTTTGGACTGGTTTATAGAGTAAAATACAAGTATGCTGGAATGACTGTGAAAGTAGAACTGCAAAATTAATTGCAGGGGTATGTTCAAGGATCGTTTTAAAAGTACAGTTGTCTTAAAACATGTCAGAGATATTCAGTGCACAATATAAGAGATTCTGCTGTTGGAATTGATAGGGTCTGTGTAATTGAGTTCTTCATTGTTAAGGCACTGAACATATTAACTTGAAAATGGTCACACAAACACCCTCCACCCAAAAAAAGATTTCCAGCATTGATTCAGTGCAGTCCTCAGCATCCACGGAAGCAGACAACGGTCCGATAGTTTAAGGCAGCCTTAATATTTTGTGTATTAACACTTCTCTCGCTACAAAGATTTTCCTGCTGCGCAACAAAATGACATCATCAGGTTCTCTGGCCGCTTTTGTGGAGGGTGGTGGAGGTTGGAGAGCACAGGGCGCAGCCCCTAGTACGCCCTATTTACTGAACTTTTAAAATTCAATCCTTTTTAAAAACCTACAGATTTCAGTAGTGCCATTCAATCAGAGAAACTAATTAGAAACAACCTACAGTACTTTATTTTTGGCATTTCGCTCGCTCACTTTGGACAGTGATCAATAAACAAATGGTGGGATTCCAGCACAGATAGGAACCTAGGGTATGTCTACACTACCACCCTAGTTTGAACTAGGGTGGTAATGTAGGCAACCGGAGTTGCAAATGAAGCCCGGGATTTGAATTTCCCGGGCTTCATTTGCAACTCCGGTTGCCTACATTACCACCCTAGTTCGAACTAGGGTGGTAGTGTAGACCTACCCCTACAGACATCTTTCTGGTTGCTGCTCTACAAACACTATGGCCCTGAATACAGGCAATCTTGCTGAAGAAGGGAGGTATCTTAAGGCTGGCCAGCCCATGGTATCCCTTCTTCAGCCAGCTGGAGAAGTGATCAGAGACTGAATTCTCCACCCTTCACTGTTGCAGAAGTGATGTTGCTCTTTTGGCTGCAGCCTGCCGGCAGCTGGGCGCCCCTATAGGATGGCGCTCTGGGCAGCTCCCCGGCTAGCCCACCCCTTAGTCCGGCCCTGTTTGCAGCATATGTGCAACCTCTACACAAGACTGTTTCCTGCCACAAGAGCAAGCAGATTAAATGGTGCTTGACATATTTTTGCAAGAGCACTCTGAGATCCACCACAGTGCCAGAATCAATCCCTAAAAGAGTTTCAAGCAACTGAGACATGGCGCTCTGGGCAGCTCCCCGGCTAGCCCACCCCTTAGTCCGGCCCTGTTTGCAGCATATGTGCAACCTCTACACAAGACTGTTTCCTGCCACAAGAGCAAGCAGATTAAATGGTGCTTGACATATTTTTGCAAGAGCACTCTGAGATCCACCACAGTGCCAGAATCAATCCCTAAAAGAGTTTCAAGCAACTGAGACAGTTTTTCTGTTTCATATCTCGTGTTTTTGCTTCCTCTTCCTGGTTACAATTTTATCTTTCATACTTAGGATGCTTGCCAGCTGCAAGTTTCCTTCCTGTGCTCAACTCTGCAGGTACAGTGGATAAAATCTAATTAAATAGGCAATTCACATGAGTTCTCATCTTAGGGTACATCTAGACTGCGGGGGTTTTCCGGGATACCAGAGGTATCCCAGAAAAACTCCGCTACATCCAGGGAATGCATTTGCTCTTCTGCAAAAAAAAAAAAAAAAAAAAAGGCGGAAAAAAAAAAGGCAT